TGACACTAGATAATATTGATATTATACACAATGGGGACTTAAACTTGGTACGGAGTTGAGATCTACACCAAGTAGCACCCCATCTACCTGAAGTTCAACAAGATCCTCATCATCAGGATCAACAGGATCATCATCTACATCTGTAATATCTTTTAACGGTGACATTGCTCAAAATTGGAAACCTCAAAAGCGTCAAGTCCTTAGCAGAAACTTCCAGTTCTTTTGATAATGATGACAATAGTGTAATACCATGTTCTGCCACTTCTACAAATCTAACTGAAGAACTGTTACCTCGAAAACATGGTTAGGATGGTTTAGGCTCAAACATTTGAGCGAGGATGGATAGAGATGTTACCTGTAAATGCCATTATAAGTGCAATACCAAAATAGAAAAAACAAATCTGGATTCTAAAATCAAGATCAGCTTTTATTGGAAACAGTGTAAAGTGTATTCCTTTGAAAAGGTACTGTGGAGACAATAACAAACGAGCCCATACTTTACAATACATGTTGATGTGCAATGAGCAGAGTCCAAGTGTGCAAACAGTTCTTTTTGGCTACATACGACATCTTAAGCAAAAAGTTGAAACGGCATTGAAAAAATTGACTTCTTCTATTATGGAAATAGATCATCAGGGTCACAAAGAACCCTGAAGAAGAAGAAAAATATAATTAGGAAACATATTCAAGCACTGCCCGTAGTTAATTCATATTACTGCTGCAGCAGCAGTAAGAGAAAATATTTGCCATCTGGATTGAGTGAAACTCGTATTTATATGGACTATGTAGAATATTGTAAAGAAATTAATGTCGAGCCAGAAAAATTCAGTTTCTACAAATCGGTCTTCATGTCAGAGTTTAACTACAGGCTTCACGCTCCCAAAAAGGATCAGTGTGACTTTTTTACCCAGTACAAAAACAAGTCAGACGAGGGCAAGGTAAAAGATGAAGAGGCTTATAAAGTATACTTGGCTCGTAAAGAAGAAGCTAGGGATCGCAAAAAAAATGACAAGGACCACGCCAAATGTGATACATATTTCTATTGCTTTACCATGGACTTAGAAAAAATAATATTGACCGCTATTTTACAAGTAGGTTAATTTTATTTACTTTAAAAAAAGGTTGAAAATATATAACTTCACTATATATGATTTTGCTGCTGGACAAGCAACAAATTACTTGTGGCATGAGGGTAATGGGAAGAAAGGTGCATCAGAGATCGCCACGTGTCTGTGGAAACTTCTGGTTTCACTAGGTACCAAAGAAGAAGTGACATTTTATTCGGACACAGCATCAGAACAAAATATAAACACTATTGTATCTGCTATATTCTTATGAGCCGTGGACCAGCTACCTATACAAACAATAAACCAGAAGTTTATGGAATCAGGACACTCAGACTAGTGCGATTCTGTGCACTCCACAATAGAGTCCTGTCAGCAAGTTGACGTGTACACACCAGAAGGATGGTATATGGTCGCTCGCACTGCAAATAGTTCCTGATTTTGTAAATTTATTGTTGTTTTTCTATTTAATATATGATTTATAAATTTTGAGAACCTAAATACGACCATTTTTCTAATATTACTTATTAACATTTAATGGTAACAAGATTAACTGATATTGTAGATTATAACAAAATTTAGATGCTTTTCCACTAATAGTCAGTTTCTCACCCAATAATTCTGTGGCTTGACGCCTTTGACTTCAACACAAGGTTCTAACTATTATGTTACTGTTCAGTGGTCAAGAGGTCTAATACACATATCTTTGGAAGTAATAACTTAAACATGAATTAATTTAATAAGATAAGTAGATACAATCTAAAATCAGGTACATTCAAAATTTAGTCAACAAAAAACAATAAATTTATACTTAAAATTTGCCTCCACAGCGACGATATGTATTATTTAATTTATCTTTGAGACTACACACCTTCCCTAGTAAGTGGAGCGACAGTTATACAACTCCTGTATTTGAGAACAGTGACAGAGACAATATAAAAAATTATAGGCCTGTTGTTATGTTATCTGCCATCCCTAAACTTTTTGAACTAATTCTAAACAAATATCTTACTTGGCATTGTAGATTAATGTAATCTCTTGATGATGAGCAACATGGTTTTAGACAGGGTAAATCTACATCTAAAAATCTTGTTTTGTATCAAAATTACATTAACAGGGCTTTCGAGGATGGGTACCAAGTGGACTCCATCTATACTGATTTCTCGAAGGCCTTTGACACAGTAATCCATTCTTTAATCATCTTTAGATTAAGATGTATTGGCTTTCCTGAGTGGTTTCTTTCATGGTTAAGTAGTTATATTGATGAAAAAATTCAGTTTGTTTTTATAAATGGTTCACTTTCAATTCTTATCCTGGTCAGTTCAGGGGTCCCACAAGGTTCACATGTGAGTACTCTTCTCTTTAATTTGTTTATTAATGATATTTCTGAGGTAATAAAAGTTTGTGAGTTTTTGCTATTTGCTGATGACCTTAAGTTATATTTTAAAGTTTCAAATCTATCTGATTGTCTAAGGATCCAGGAAGACCTTACTTCCCTGTATAATTGGTCTCTTTTCAATGATCTCCAATTAAATAAAGATAAGTGTTTTGTTATATCCTTTAGCAAATCTAAAAAAAATGTTGTGTTTGACTATCACATTAATACAAGCCTTCACAATAATTGATCAAATAAAGTTTACCAAAATCTAGGTTTTATCACAAGAAACTCTCGAGATCTTTCAGTACCCACATAGAGAATTTTATATTTTACTTTCATCTGTAGCATCCTGTCTTATGCTTCTATAGTATGGTCACCATACTATTTTAACCATATTCACACCCTTGAAAAAATTCAAAATAAGTTTCTCCGGATTTGTGCTTATAGATTAAACTTAAGGAACATGTCTTCAGTATAACTAAGGTCAAGGCTAAATATCAATTCCTTAGAAGACTACAGAACTAAATGTGATTTAGTTTTTCTCCATAAACTACTTGACCATACCACTGACTGTTCTGATTTATTAAGTCTTACCAACTTTAGATGTAACACTAGAATTCTTAGAGGCATGCCATTGTTTTCTATAAAACACTATCACACTAACTATGGCAAATTCTCTCCTATCAACAGGATTCAGATCCTGGGAAATGACTTTAGATAATCTCATGATCTGGTGGATATAAAATCTGTAAGATTTAAGCACTGTTTGACTGAGGATGTTAGGAATCAAAGATGAAACAGTATTCGTTTAATTTTATTTTATTAAGATCATTTCATTTTATTAAGATAATTAAGAAATTTAATTTAATCATTTGTTTAACAATAATTATTTAATACTTAGTTTTAGTTTGTACTTGTATTATGGTTAGCATATTTTATTTTTGTTAAATTTTGTAAAAATAGGGACATCCTGTAAATAAATATTTTTTTTGGGCTTTCTCCACAGTAATTGCCTTTTAATTAATTTTATTAAAATATTTTATAGGAAAGTTTTAATTCTAATACTTTTAGATATGAACACATTTAAATTGAAAATTTAAATCACAATATTATTTATAAAAAGTATATAGTTTATAAAAAAATTCAGTCATTAGAAATTAAAATATTTTATTTTCTACAAAAAAAATTTGGTGCATGAGTAGGATTTGATCTCTAATTTTATAAAATTCAAAAATTTAAGGCTAAGCATTCTATGCA